CAACCCATTATTTTCTCGAAAAAACGACGGAATTGACTCAAGATACTTATCCACATGATAAAGGGGGTCTTGAATGTGCCAAAAATATAAAAAACTAATTTTCGACCAAACACGAAGTTACGGTCTTTTGCCTTTGCACGGCAGTATACAGTATCTCACAAAAGTGAGTACACATACCCTTCACATTTCAGCAAACATTTTATTATATCTTCTCAAGGGATAATAGGCTAGGCTACTATAGAAATGAAACTTAGATATATTTTAGAGAGGTCATTGTGCTGCTTGTATAGCAGTATATGCCCTCTGAAAATAACTCAACATACAGCCATTATTGTCAAAATAGATGGCAACAAAAGTGAGTATGTACACCCTAAGTGAACATGTCAAAACTGTGTCCAAAGTGTCAATATTTTGTGTGAGCACCATTGTTATCTAGCATTGCCTTAATCCTCCTAGGCATGGAGTTCACCAGAGCTGCACAGGTTGTTGCTGGGATCCTCTTTCACTCCTCCATAATGACATCACAGAGCTGCTGGATGTTAGACACATGGCGCTTCTCCACCTTCCGCTTGAGGACGCCCCACAGGTGCTCAATAGGGTTCAGGTCTGGAGACATACTTGGCCACTTCATCACCTTCAGCTTCCTCAGCAAGGTAGTTGTCATCTTGGCGGTGTGTTTGGGGTCGTTATCATGCAGTTCAGCCCAGTTTCTGAAGGGAGGGCATCATGTTCTGCTTCAGAATGTCACAGTACATGTTGGAATCCATGTTTCCCTCAATGAAGCGCAGCTCCCCAGTACCAGCAGCACTCATGCAGCCCCTGACCATGATGATACCACCACCATGCTTGACTGTAGGCAAGACACAATGTTCTTGGTACTCCTCCCCAGGGCGTCGCCACACATTCTGGACACCATCTGAGCCAAACAAGTTTATCTTAGTCTCATCAGACCACAGGACATGGTTCCAGTAATTCATGCTTTTGTTCACAGGCTTTCGTGAGCCAGCTTCAGAAGAGGCTTCCTCCTGGGACGACGGCCATGCAAACCGACTTGTTGCAGTGTGCGGCGTATGGTCTGAGGACTGCAACCTCTAAAGCAATGCTGGCAGCACTCGTGCGTTTGTTTTTTTAAGCCAGCTTCTGCACCTGACGCACAGCGCGAGGACCTAACCTCTTTGATTGACCTCTGCGAGGCCTGTTCCGAGAGGAACCCGTCTTGGAAAACCTCTGTATGATCCTGGCCACTGTACTGTAACTCAGTTTCAGGGTGTTACCAATCTTCTTATAGCCCAGCCCATATTTGTGGAGAGCAACAATTCTATTTCTCAAATCCTTAGAAAGTTCTTTGCCATGAGGTGCCATGTTGAACATCCAGTGGTCAGTATGAGAATTGTACTCAAAGCACAAATTTTTATTCATTTGCTCGAATACAAGATACAACAATTTATGTATGGTCCTGTCAAGCAGAAAAAAACATGAACATCATGAATAGGACATGTGGCTTTGCATAGTTTAACGACGTACAGCTATTATCACTTAGGGTGTACTTACTTTTGTTGCCAGCTATTTTGACAATAATGTCTGTATGTTGAGTTATTTTCAGAGGACAGTAAATATATACTTCTTCTATACAAGCAGCACATTGACTACTCTAAAATATATCATTTTTTATAGTATTGTCCCTTGAGAAGATATACTAAAATGTTTGCTGAAATGTGAAGGGTGTACTCACTGTTTTGTGAGATACTATATATATATATATATATATATATACATACATACTACACACACACATATAAAGTCATGCGCAAAAGTTTACATAGGCCTACACCATGCAGAATCTGCAAAATGTTAATTATTTTAACAAAATTGAAATGCAAACCTGATGCTCCAGAAGGAAACATTATGCATTAAGAGTCAGGGGGTGAAAATCTTTTGAGTTTGAAGATCATTGAATTTGAATTGTACTTAATTTATCTTCCGGGTAACATGCAAGTATCTTCTGTTGCTTCCGAAGGACAGTATACTTAATAATTTTATTTATTTATATTTAAACAAAATAAAAAAACATTTGGACATCATCATCCTGTTCAAAAGTTTTCACCCCCAGCTCTTAATGCAGTTTCTCCTTCTGGTGCTTCAGTGAATGTTTGAACCTTTTTTAATAGTCGTGTTTGAGTCCCTCAAATGTCCTCAGTGTGAAAAGATGGATCTCAAACTCATACAGTCACTGCTGGAAAGGGTTCAAATATGCAAAAGATGCTGGAAAACTGAAGCATTTGCAGGACCTGAATGATTTTTCTGAAGAAAATTGGGGAGTTTAACTGCTCAGGCAGACAAGGAACTCAAGAACAACCACAACAAAACAGAAACAAGAAAAGTAGTCGTGGATCATCCAGGTAACGACACAGTATTAAGAATGAAGGGTAAACTTTTGAACGGGGACAGGAATTTACTGTATATGTAAACATCTTTTATGTAAAACATCTTATTAATACAATAAAAACATGCATTTTGTATGATCCCTCTTATTTTATTTAACTTAACAAAAGGTTCGAAAGGCACCATCAAAATAAATTGTTACAGTTGACTAGAAGTAACTTTGCAACTACGCGTCAACTAATTCTCATTAGAGTATTAATAGACTGTCTGCTTATTATCTGCCAACTCTTTATATGGTCCTCCAACAGACATTATACTGACAATAACTTTGCAAGTACGTGTCAACTTATTCTAACCCTACCAGTCTACTAATACTCTACTAACACTCTAGTGCGAGTTAGTAGACATGTAGGTGCAATGTTACTTAATCAACAGAATTTGTTAAAGTGACCATCAAAATAATCAAATTAACATTTTGCAGATTCTGCAAGGTATATGTATACACATACGTCATCAACCCTAATGACAGATCATGCATGACGACAGTTCAACACCTGGTTTTCTGTCTTTTCTTGAAATGTTCCATTTTTTTGTCTTATTTTGTTTTCTTTTTCTGCAGTTTCTTTGACTATAATTTAAACATATACATGTCAAATGTGTTATACCCTTGTTTTTGTATCAAAAAAGTTGCAGAGACTTATTTGAATGAGAACATTTTTAATGATCAATCTCTTTAATGTATTTTTTTCTGAAAAACAAATTCTTTGTAACTCTCTGGCATTACCATTTACATAATTCTGTACATGAAAAAGAAAAAAAGCACTGCTTTAGATACAGATTAAAATTTGAAAACTAGAAAAAACCTTCAAAATAAAAATTAGAGGAGGTTTACATTACAAATTAGTAGTAAGACATTGTCTGAAGTGCAATGGTATAGCTCAGATGAGTTTAAAAGTGGAAAAAAAGATGAAATAAAAATACTTCTCTATTTTAAACAAACAGCAATATTTTTACAGTTAGTAGAGACATATCCTCTGATGTATTTAAAATTGTAAAAACATATTTACATATAACTGTATCTGATATATATCTTTTTCCATCACATATATGTCAGCACCAGTACAAAATAAAAAGGAGAAAAAAGATAAGCTCGATGACTTCAACAGAAATCAAAAACATATTAATCTTGGTCCCAGATTGTTGATATTTGGTGAGACGGCAGGAGAATGTGGGCTTTACCCTCTCCAACTGCGATCCTCTTGACACAGCAACAATATAACACTGCAAAAACACTGATGATGTGAATGCGTTCAATCTCCCATTAAGACAGAAATTTAAAAAAAGGGCAATTCAGTCACAATTCAAGTCAGTTACATTCCTCATAGAGCTGAAACAATCAAACTAGAGCTCGATCACAGAAAGAGACAGCATGACTATAATACCATAAAGTAACACACAACCAGGAGAAAAGACTGATATTCTTTGTGTGGCATTTCATGGTAAACAACAGACAACTAAAGTAAAGAAAGGGTTACCATTTTGAGACTTCATTTGAAATTAGTTGACAGACCAGGTTAAACTCATACAAGTAACAACAAATTCTTTATGTGAACAATACATTTTTCGAATAATGAAGTTGGTGGGAATGGATCGTAAATAAATTGAAATTCCCAATACAGAGCAGAGGCTTACATGTACAAATTAAGTCAATTTTTTATTTTTGTTGAAATTGTCACAGTTGAAAGAGAAAAAGAAAGTTGACTGGATTACAAACGGCTTGCCGGAGTCTTGATGTGCTTGTTTTTCCTCTGTCAGGCATTGTGTAACGGGTAAAGGAGTGTCAGTGTGTGCAAGAGCTTGAAGTGATTATAATATGTCATTTGACTGGTAAAATAAAAGAAGAAAAGTGGCATGACCCATCAGCGTCAATACAGTATGAACTGTGTATTTAATTTTTTTTCTTTTTTTTAATTAAAATATCTTTAACCAGTGTTCACAAGCAATTACGTTCAGAAAAGAAACAAAACTAGAATGTTGTGAAGCGTTTTAAATTATAGAATCAAAACACTGCATTTGCCTCAGATTACTTTCACAAACTACTGGGGTGTTATATTAAAATCGCATAAATATTACTTTATGAACTGTTTCTTGTAATCCAGATGAGTTCGCATATTCTTTCTAGCTGCCATTGTGACTAAAGAAAACATCTTTCTCACAGTTTTAGAGAGGGGAGGGAGAAGTTTGTAGCTGCCAAATCTCTTCAAGCAATATTAACAAACACCTAGTTGACAAACACACACACACACACGGCTTCACTCTTCTACTGACACCGGTCGCCTAGCGACAGCAGAGCATCCATCTTGCATGCACTGAGAGCACACGGAGTCTGATGTGTTTTGTTGTGATGCTCTTAGTGCAAATAAACGCGCACACGCACGCTCATGCGCGCGCACACACACATACACACACACACACACGCACGCACAAGCACAAAGCAGAGCAAATCAACACACATCAAGAGCAGCGAGAGAGAGAATATGTGTAAGAGAAGAAAGAGGAGGTGGTGTGTTGAATTGTTTGGTTTGGGAAAAGGGATCCATTGGTGACAAAGGCCCACCTCAAATTTCCACACACTCTTTAATACATGAACAGGATGTCAGAACAAGGGAGAACTAAATACATAAAAACATCCATAAAATCTTTCCCAATGTCATTTTGCAGGTTTTCAGTGCCTCTTGCCCTTAGTCCAGCACAAAGGACATAAGAGAGAAAAAAGACAAGGACATAAATGGATCAAATCCAAAAGGGTTATTTCTATAAAATAAAAACTGAACACCGGAACCTTACTGGAGAAGCAACCCAAACAGAGAGGAATTGGTTTAAATATTGTGACAGCACACACATGTATTACACAACATGTAATATATTTCTTAGATTTGTTGACCATGTTAAAAAAAAAAAAAAAAAAAAAATCACATTTTCCATAAAATTGTTCTGTTAAAAAAATCCCTTAGGCTATTGGTTGGGGAAAAACTCTTCCATCCAACCTTCCGTTGAATCCAAATCTGTCCCATCCGACAGGCCGAACGAAACCCCGGCCCCAGCCCCTGATTGGCTGCCGTAACCGTATGCCAGGTCCTGATTGGACGTCCTCTGGTAGCCCTGAGGCTGACCCCCTGGCATGTAAGACCCACCCCCTCCCGATGCTCCCGGTATGCCCTGAGCAGGGCCCTGTCCAAAAGCGCCCATGTTGGGCACTCCCTGGTTCATGCCTGGCATTACCATCCCCCGCGGCTGGTTGGTCCTTGGTTGCCCCGCCATGTGCGGCATCATCGGCCCACCCATTGCAGCTGGGTTTATTGAACGTGGGTCCACCATAGTCTGTCCGCCCATCGCTTGTGCGAAATGCTGCTTGGCTATCCTAGGAGGCTGGCCACCTTGCATGGCGTACGCAGGGTTACTGTTAAACGCCACCATGTCGTTTGAAGTCCTTCCGCCCATGGCCTGAATATTTTGCTGCTGCGGCCACGTCGGGCCTCCGCCTCCCATCATGCTCTGCAGTCTCTGAACTTGGGCTTTGGCCATCGCCTGCCCACCAGGGGCGACACTGGCTGATTTTATCTGCTGCTGCGGGATGGCCTGGTTCATTAGCATCGCCTGTCCATACCCGCCTCCCGGGCCTCCGCCGACCATTCCTTGCCCGCCGGCGCCCGCTTGTCTTTGTGCCATCGCCATACCGGGCTGGTTGGGATGGTGCTGCTGTTGCTGCTGGAGCATTTGGCCCATGTTTGGGTTCATACCCTGGTACATGGCAGTCTGTGAACTGGCCTGGCCTCCGTATGCCATGCTCATGTCACCCTGCGAGGGCATGGCGGCGGAGTTCTGGACGGGCGCCATCTGCAGTATCCCCGGGTTCTGTTGCTGCTGCTGCAGAAGTCGAGCGTTCCGCATGTTCTGCAGCGTCTGGTTCCTTGCTGCCATCTCCTGGGACGTGCCTAAAATCATTTCAAATTAAATAATATTAACTGACATCTGTTGTTCTCATTACATTTCCAGTACATCAAAGGCTTGCTTCAATTAAAGTCAAACAGCATAAGTACACACTCACAAAAGCATAGCAAATCACTGTCAATTGTATATCTTGACATAAACTGCACACTGAAATCTCCAGATGACTGTGTGTGCCTGAAATGACTGATTCCATGTTCCCAATCCTGCTCCAGGAGATCTACTTTCCTAAGTTCAGCTCCAACACAAATCAAACACACCTGAACCAGCTAATTAAGATCTTCATTCAGGAGTGTTTGATCAGGGTTGGCTCTAAACTCTGCAGGTAGGTAGATCTCCAGGAACAGGCCCTGTCCACACGAACACGGGTATTTCCAAAACTTCAGATTGTTCTATGCGGTTTGGCCGTTCGTCCACACGCTAAAGCAGTATCCAGTCAATGAAACCAAACTTTTTTTGAAAACTCCTGCTAGGGTGAAGATTTTTAGAAACTCCGATTGCAGTGTTGTCGTGTGTAGACGGTGAAACCGGAGATTTTGGCTTGTGACGTCGGAGTGCTTGCTGTTATCTCCTTTGTTTGACGTCAGATTGTGCGGCACTATCTCCTTTGTTTACATGAGGCGAGTCTGTGCAATGGCGGACGTAGCCAAAATATTGCTGCTAATAACTGTGCTAACAGGGCTTATATGTATACATGCACAGTTCTCCCATTATATTGCGGAACAGAAGCGTCAGAATTCTATTCTATTCTATTCTATAACATGTTGTTAGCCTACCAGAACCGGTAATAACCTTTTTTTCAGGCTTCTGATTAGCCAACATGGCTTTACGGTTAGGGTTATATCGACACCTGTTGGTTTGGCATGCTCTTGACAGCGCTTCATAGTGTGTTTTTGCTTTTTCATGTGGACAGAGATTTTGTTTAAACCGTGCTTGTGTGGACGCGATTTTATTTTTAAACGAAGGAGGAAAAACTCAGTTTATAAAAATACGTGTGGACTAGGCCTTAGACCTTGAATAAACCTACATGAATTTCATGTTAGAATTATGTTGACAGGCATCAAGACAAAAATTTAGATATAAAGCAGGGGTAGTGTAGGGGCAGAACGAATGTGTGTGTGTGTGTGTGTGTGTATATATAGAAACAGATACCCCGCGTTAATACACAAGCCTGAAAAATAGCTTAAGGAGCTAGATTTGTCAGATATTGTTCTCAGATTTCACTGCAGATATGAAATATGTTATTACAATGTAATCTTGGCAAACTGTTTCAGACATTTTAGTCTCGATTCTAGTAGCTGTACCTACATTGAAAATAGCTGCCTGGCAATGTGACCAAAATGACCGCTGAGCAAACTGATTTGCCTTAAAGTCAAATTAATAATAATGTTTACATGTTTAAATGTTAAATTGTAAATTTAATATTCAAAACAACAACAACAACAAAAATAATCAATAGACGTGTTTCCTGTCAAAGCAACAGACAAACGTTCGGGTGAATGTATGTGTCTTATACTGCTTCATGCGAAAGGCTGGCACAGGGTGTGTAAGTGGCCAGGCAGTCATTTGAGGTGCCAACGAGAACATTTTTTCTTTTCGGTTTTAAATAGAGGAACTGCACTTAGAGGCTTAAAGGAGGAGTTCAGATTTTTCACATCAGAAGTCTACTATCCACTTCAGGTCCTTACAGTGCTTGTATAACACTATAAGCCCTTTAGCCACACAAAGTAATTTGGTCGTTACAACTAGTGGCAAAGCGTTTAGATTATGGGAATGGATATTATCCTCTTTTCTTTGTATATGTGCGTGTCTTGCCTTGAAACTGCTGGAGTGGATATGGATTCCTCTGTGCCTGACTCATCTGTCTGGGGAGATGCTGCTGCTGTTGTAACTGGAAAAAGAGGGAAAGCGAAGCAGAAAACTAGATGAATATCAGAAATTGCTGATCAATAAATCACAAACAACTGAACAGAAAGCAGACCTCTTAAGCCACAAAAGGTCAACAGATGCTTGCACACTCACAAGGATGACTATTTGATATGAGCATAAAGAAATGCCAAGCACTGTGTCTATGGTGTCAATGGCACTCACCTGTTCTGCCAGCATGTGCTGCTGCTGCTGTCTCTGTTCTCTAATAAGCTGTGCTTTCTGCTGCTCCATCATATGGAGCTGGACCCTCTTTTCCTGCTCCATAGCAATCATCTGCTTCATCATGGCCGCCTGCTGTGGATTGGCCAGATACCCGGCAGGCCCCGCCCCGTTAGGCCCTGATGAGGCCACACCCCCCGGTCCTCCGTGAGGTGGCTGGACTCCACCAGCCTGCCGTGGCAATCCAACCACACTTTCCTACAAACGCAAGAAAGGAGAGATGATCAGACAGGGTATAACAGATGATTCACTGATTCACTTCATTTATTCAGTCATTGAATTACTGACACCTAATACACATAAAACAGTTCGAATTGCTTCTTGCATGTAATTACAGATTATTTTCAGGGTGAACTGTCATGTAATCTCCAGCCACTGGGGAATGGCTTCATTGGTACTAAATGAATATAATATATTACATACAGTACACTACTGTTCAAAAGTTTGGGGTCGGTATGATTTAAGAAACTTTAAGAGACTTTTATTCAGAAAGGATGCATTAGGTTGATCAAAGTTACAGTAAAGCCATTTATGATGTTAGAAAACATTTCCATTTCAAATAAATGCTGCTCTTTTTAAACTTTTATTAAATAAATTCTAAAAAAAATGCATCATGGTATCAGTCCCAAATCAGCATATTAGGTGCTGTCCACACAGAACATGTTTTTCCATTCCAAATGCGCTACTTTCCCATTGTTTTTTTTTTTTAATGTAAACATAAATCCAGCCTTGGTTAGCCTAAAATACTTTCTTTAAAAAACATCACTGACCACAAACTTTTGAATGGTAGTGTATCATACAAATGTATGTTCCCATGTAAATACCTTTAAATGTAATACAGCAGAAAAAAACAACGTAAATGCATGTGTCCTTTCCATACTCAGACTTTTTACAGTGTCATAAATTAAACTGAGTAAACTTTGAATCAAAATTTGTTTACAAATGAACAGAAAAATAAAACCTCAGAAGAACAAATTTCTCAAACATGGTATACCACAGAATACAGGAGCTGTGGAGACCTCTTTTGTGTGTGTCGGGTCAGGAAAAGATACCCCTCTCTCTGAGTAGTGGTTGAGGTAATATAAAATTACCTTTAATACACTTGAAATAGACTGTGGTCTAGGACAATAAAAATTCAGGATTCAAGACAAAGAGTCATGAGACCCAGACTCTAGATGTATATGGACTTCTTATAAGATTTGAAGACCAGGACAAACAGACTGAGACAAGACAAAGGAATGGTATGCAGAATGGGAGTGGGGGGTTCAAACTGTTGCAAACTGGATTTAAACCTGCATCATCCACACAAGCACCACATAGCTCAATGTGCCCGAGCACATTCACTGACCGCAAGCCCACGACTCCAAACATTTTATTTGAACCATCCCTCCATGAGGCTCTTAGAACAGTATAAATAATGAGGCACAAACATGCACACGCCACAGGAGACTGTTCAGATAAATCTAGACCAGACCGGTCAATGAGCACAAATCTGTGTGTAGACAGCTGGATCTCTTCTGTTAACCAGTCATGCTGTCCAAACGAGCGCTGAGCCGCACGTACGTATCCTTGTTGAGGCCAGAAAGGCCAGAGGGGGGCAGTGTTGATCTTTTTTCCCCCTTCTCCTACCATCTCTCAACTCCCTCTTTTGAGTCATCATCTATCTCTATTTCTTCCACCTCTGTGCCCATGTCTCCATTCCGTTCACAGTCTTTCCCTCCTTCCTCCACATTTCCCTTTACCTCCTCTCTTTTTCTTCGTTCGCCCTCACCACCTTACACACTCTTTTTCATTATGATCCCTTCATTCCCCCTCTCCCTTCAGCTCTCTCTGCAGATGGCTTAATCATGAGTGGTGTAAAAGATGTGTCTCCTTCTTCCTGCCGGGTAATGTGTGTGAGCCAACGACTCCTCAGCAGAGCATGGAAAGAGAGAGAGAGAGAGAGAGATGAGGGGTGAGAGAAAAAGACTCAAATGACAGAAAAAAAAACATTAAAGAGAGGGAGGGAGAAAAAAAAGACAGAAAGATAGAGAGAGAGAGAGAGAGAGAGAGAGAGAGAGAGAGAGAGAGCAGGTAGCCAGGCAACAGTGGCTGTAATGTTGAGCAGATGGTGCTCATAGGAGCCATGATGGACGACAGCGGGCAGCAGCCGAGAGAGAGAGAGAGAGAGAGAGAGAGAGAGAGAGAGAGAGAGAGAGAGAGAGAGAGAGAGAGAGAGAGAGAGAGAGAGACCGAGAGCAGCGTAAATGAAGTCTCTCTCTTTTATCCTCTCTTCCTCCTCTTTCTGTCTCTATCACCGATTCCATCTCCATCTTTTTTCCTTAGTTCACACATGTGTGAACCACTCTTGATTCTACGGTTCTTGCGTGGTCATCTATCTCTCTAACTAAACCGTCAATCATAAAGATTGCTGAAAGAGACTGTACAGGAGGATCAATGCAAATACTAAGGTGTGTAGTTTGTGTACCACTAGAATCACCAAATGGAAACGCTAAAGTATTGACTTCAAACAGGTTTCCTGAACACTCCCCACATCTGCCATTGGTCAGGACAAACATAGTCCCGAGTCTCCCGACCCAAACACACATCAATGGTCGAGCAAATGTTGCTGTTGTCAGGCTGGTCAGGACTCAAACAGACAGAACAATGTTTTGATAGTGCCACATTTACACTTTTTGGGGAAATCAACCTACAAATGACTGACTTACAATTGTCTAATACATTAATCTGGGACAGAAGAAGGTATTTTAAAATCCAACACACTCTGAGCTTTGTGTAAGTGTGAGGGTTTACCAAAGGCACCAAGCAAACATAAACAGGCAAGACTATCTGATGATTGTGAACTCTAAAGCTTAAGCTCATCTTCAATTGTTAAAAGTGTTGGATGATGCACAAAAGGCTCACTGCAGTTTGCACAGAGCAATACATAGTGCGATACAGATAGCCGGAGTGATTGCTTTCATTGATCTCATGCATACACACACAAACACACATTGATTACCCAGTAGTGAGCCTTGGCCCAGATCAGGCACTAATCTGAAGGGCTTGCTCACAACATCCCCTCTAATAATACACTACGCACCAACACACGGTCCTCATGAGGGCGTTCGTGTGTGTGGGTGGTGATAGTAGTGACTGGCCAATTCAAACAAATTCAAGCTATGACATCTTAAACATGTTAAAGAATTTTGGCAATGGCAAAGACGATGCATAAATGTAGCTTCGGCTGATCATTTGCAAGTTCAGTCTCAATATGGCATAAAAGACTCAAGAGAGGAAGTTTGAGCTGCTCTCTACTTGTTGAATTATTTTTTTTTAATGGCCAATGGCTGATATCTAGAGAGCAGGGTGGCAAGGATATACACACACATATATACACGCATATAAACAGAGAAAGAAAGAGATAATAGTTGTTATCCATCCATCCATCCATCCATCCAAATCAAGAGCCATGCTCTAATGTTACTCTCATCATTTTATTGTTAAGGATGCTTTTTAATGTCTCAGATCATGACAATGAGCATACTGTAGCCTAACTACTCCTTCAAAGTAGGCTTGATTAAACAGACTGATGAATTGAAATAACGCTATGACAAAGGTGTGGAGGGGGCGTAGTCTATCGAATTCTCCAGGTGCTGCTGCTTCCTTTCTCAGATTATTTGTTTTGAATATCAATCACATCAAACCTACTGAGAGCAAACAAATGAGAGACTGGCAGGCAGAGGATCACCGACAGAAGGCCAAAACCAGGAAATCTACATCACAAATCGACCAGAAACAAAAGCATATTTCAAAATATCCTTACATCTATTGGTGCAATGACAAAGAACAAAGAAATGCCAAAGTAGTCGTTCTTTTGTTCTCAAAATCTAGATAACACACCTGTTACAAGATAGGACTGGCCATGCTGTATAGCCCACCCCCTCATTTCCCACTCTTCCATCCCTTTTTCCACAAACTCCACCTCTCTCTACCTCCAACCTTTTGCCCTCCCTTCCCTCGCCATGTTGTGTTATCTCTTCCAGTTTCTATATTCCCTTTCTCCATCCATCTATTCCACTGCACAGAAGCCATTAGTGGTGGCCGTAAAGCCATATTTCTGTCTACAGCTCAATTACAAGCACACACACTCACGCGTGCACAGGTTCAGCACCAGTTCATTGAGCATTATGGATAGAAATCCATCTGCAGCTATGCACACGGATTTCTCCATATGAATCCCTAATAAACAATTGCTGTAAACGGATTGAAACGTTAAATGATGATGTTAACCCTCAGATTTCAGTTTATGTCCATTTCATCAGCCAGGCTGGGTGGGCATGTCTACTAAATTGGATCAGTCACTTAAAATAGCGTGAAACGAAATTAAATGATCGCTCTTGGAATGAGACGGGCGTTAAAATGCAACAGATACAGTGTCTGAATAAGGCTACTTGTTTTCATTGTTTAGACAAGTCTGCGACGTGAAATTGTCCATTGTTCTTTGGCTGCGCCTCAAAGTTTCAGAAATAAATACTGAGCACCCACGGCTCAATTAAACACAGACGGACTCTCTCTGTGTGGATCTGCAGGTAGAGGAGAAAATGATGAAATCTGATGTAAGGACGAGAAAGGAAAGATAACAAAAGCACAGTGAAATAAACGTCTCCCTCATGCTTCCTCTCTCTGTTACGCTCACTCTTCCTGTCTACCACTTTCCCTTTCTCCTTATGGAGGATAAAATGCAGTATTTGGAGCATTAAGCTCTGAGATTCTGTTCGGCTTTCATAAAGGAAAAGTTATAGAACCCATAAACAGGCCCACACAAAGCTCTACAGATTCAGAACACCCATAATTCACCAAGATCTGCCCATCTCCGGCACCTTGCACAATCATTTATTAGCCTAAATATTTTATTTAGCTTGACTTGATAACATTTTCAGATACCAACAACAGTGCAACACGGCGACAGAATTCAACAGGTTTTTCCCAAAAATAGCCTATATATAGAAAATGCCGGAAAAGGTCTACAGATTTGCATGACTGTGCAACCTGCATGTGTCATACGATATGCAGATTTACCCTTAAACACAACCGAACTCAGTTGAATGTCACAACAGGTGCTTGTGTGTCTGTTTCAAAATATTCTCTCTTTCTTTCTCCTCTTATCTCTCCTTTGTTTCTCGCAGCTGCGCCTTGTTGAAAGCGATCATGACTAA